CAAGAGGTGTTTCCAACAGCTAGCTAGATGAGGAAGCACGGAGAACCCCCCAGAAGCCCTTCAGATGCCCCCACGAAGACCCAGGAGGTCGCCAAGAGGCCCTCAGGAGGCACGACTATGTCACGCGCCTGTGCTTGATAGCGCTGTCCAAGATCTTCCAGCGCCCCCCCGGCCTGGGCTAGAACTTGAGCGCGCGCGAAGCGCGCGATGGTTCTAGTATGTATGTATGTATTTGTATATATTTATATACATATATATTCCTATTCGTATAATCTTATATTATTAAAGCCCGGATCCCCCCCCTAAACCGCCCCCCCCCCCCCTCCAGGACACCCCAGGCGCCCCTGCCCTCCACCCAGTGAACGCCCTGGACGCCCCGTCGGAATCCCGGCGGCCTTCCGGGCAGTTGGACGCCCCTGCCGACGGGCCCCAAGACGGCCCATCGGCGCTCCAAGAGGACCCCCACTATGGTTTCAAGACGGCCCACGAGGCCCCCAAGACGGTCCAGGAGGCCCCAAAAGGCACACCCAAGAGCCCCAAATCGCCCCATTCCCTCAAGAAACGACGCTTTTGAAGATATTAGCTTTTTCCGCTTTCGCAGCGTCCACGGCATCTCCAGAGACTCTCAAGATCGCCCCAGGACGGCCTCCGAGGCCTCTATATGAGCGGCCCAAGGCGGCCCAAAAGAGCTCCAAGATGGATCAAGAGAAGCCCAAGGCGGCCCAAGAAGGGGCCCCAGAGAGCCCCGAGAACTCCCAAAAGAGCCCCAAAAGAGCCGCAGGAGGCCCCCAACAGTGCCCCAAGAGGGCCACCGAAAAGCCCCTGGCCGGCCCGGCCTCCCAAAACGGCCAAAAGAGGTTTCCGGGGCGGCCCAAGAGGGCGCCAAGACGGCCCAAAGCAGCGCCAAAAGGAGTTCTCTGGTCCAGAGAGTCACCAGGAGCTCAAACGCGAGCCCACACCGTTCCAATATAGTTTCCTCCAGCAGTTCTCTTACACTCCTGGTTCGCAGGGCGGTGGTTCGAAAGGACCTCAGAAGCCCCGCAAGCGTCCAGGACCCCTCCAAGCATTCAGGAAGCGACCAATCGTCGTCGCCGCCGTCGTCGTCGTCGTCGTCGTCATACGGAGGAGCAGGAGGTCTCGGCCTGTCATCGCGGGCTGCCGCCTCGCTGTTGCGTAGCCCGCTTACCGCCCCCCCGAATGCTCGCTCCCGCGGCCTGCCCGGAGAGGAGGAGCAGGAGGAGCAGGAGGAGGAGGAGGACGACGACGAGGAAGGGCCAAGTTTCTGAGCGCTTCTGGTCCCATCGGGAGCTTCCAGAGGCCTTCGAGGGACGAGCGCCCCATCTGCAGTTCAGACGAGAGCCCCATCGTCGTCGTCGTCGTCGTCGTCGTCGTCGTCGTCGTCGTCTCCTACGGGAGAGCAGGATGTCTCGGCCTGTCATCGCGGGCTGCAGCCTCATTATGGCGTAGCCCGCTTACTGACGCCCCCAGCGCTCGCTCCCGCGGCCTGCCCTAGAGGAGGAGCAGGAGGAAGCGGAGGAAGAGGAGCAGGAGGACCAGGAGGAGGAGGAGGAGGAAGAGGAAGAGGAAGAGGAGGAGGAGAAGGAGGAAGAGGAGGGGGAAGAGAGGAGGAGAATGAGGATGAGGAGGAAGAGGAAGAGAAGGAGGAGGAGGAGGGGGATAAGGAGGAAGAGGAGGAAGAGAAGAAAGAGGGGGAGGAGGAGAAGGAGGAGGAGGACGACGGCGAGGAAGGGCCAAGTTTCTGAGCGTGTTTGACACCCTTCCCTCCCCACTTTTGCTCACAGGCGTGCACGCCCATCGGGCGAACGCAGTGTTAGCAAGGTCCAGGGATAGCACAGAAATGAGCCAGTCGCCCGTCCAGACCTCGACGCCCCACTCTGCTGAAACACGCGATGACTTATTGCTTTCCCGAGAAGCGTCCGGAACAAGACTGCAGTGGCGCGAAGCGCCACTGCAGTTTTGTGTATATATATACATATACATATGCAAAGTTACAGTATTATTATTCTATATATACAAATGTTCTCCTTGTCCAAACAACAAATAGGTTCTACCACCCTCCCCCCCTGGTGTTAAATATTCCCCTTTTCTGCATTATAAATTACATGTGATTCTGCCCCACGGTCCATCCTAATTGTGACTTCATACTATTTCAACCAAACCGGTACCGCCCCCCTCCCCGCCATCCTCTGAGAAAAACACTATGCGCGCGGACTCGTTTATAACAAATGATAAGTTGCCAAGAATCCTTTGCAATAGTCCCTTGCGCAAAAACAAGACGAAGTGCACACGCGTCGTCGTCGCGCGCGCATGCCGAAATCCTTCAAAAACCTTCGGTTCCGGAATATACATATACAAATACGCAAGGTAATTTGCAGAGGGTACGTCGCAGGGTAATTTGCAGAGGGTTCTCGCGACGGCACGCGCGCAAGGGAGTTCGAACGATTTCGACATGCGCGCGCGAAGCCCATTGAGTAGCATGTTCAGAAAACCTTGAAATGACCCTGCGACGTACCCAACCATTTCTATACATGTGGCGAGTATACTCAAGACCACTCAATGCTGACTGGCATCACGAAGGACTCGCAGTGCGCAAGAAGAGCACCCAGCAGTGATTTCAGAAGAGTGCAGCAAGAAGAGCAGCGGCAAAAATGCAGAACGGACACACCAGGGGCGTGTGTGGTGGTCCGCGAATGACGTACCTCCGCTGGGCCTCCCAGGAGCCCACGAAAGTGCCGACGGTTTCGCAGATCGCAGCCCCACAGGGCACCGCGAGCTATAGCGGTGGCCCGCGTATGAAGTACCTCCGCTGGGCCTCGCAGGAGCCCACGAAAGTGCCGACGGTTTCGCAGATCGCAGCCCCCCGGGTATCGCGAGCTATAGTGGTGGTGCGCGTATGACGTACCTCTGTGGGCCTCCCAGGAGCTCACGAAAGTGCCGACGGTTTCGCAGATCGCAGTCCCCCAGGGTATCGCGAGCTAGTGGTGGTCCGCGTATGACGTACCTCCGCTGGGCCTCCCAGGAGCCCACGAAAGTGCCGACGGTTTCGCAGATCGCAGCCCCACAGGGCACCGCGAGCGCGTATGACGTACGCCCGCTGGGCCTCCCAGGAGCCCACGAAAGTGCCGACAGTTTCGCAGATCGCAGCCCCACAGGGCACCGCGAGCTATAGTGGTGGAACACAGGAAACAGGAGAGAAGGAGGAGGGGAGGAGAGGGGAGGAGGAAGGAGGAAGGACGGGGCGACCACACTGCTCTATTCAAAACGAGAACCCAACACAGGAGGGTTGGGAAAAAACGAAATGCACGCGCACGCGTCGTCGCGCGCGCATGCCGGAATCCTTCAAAAACCTTCGGTTTCGGAAGGATTTCAAAATCGAGTTCCCAAACCACATACAACATATAGGGTTTCGCAACACGGATGTTCGACAAAAGCGTGCGAGAGCGCGCTCTTGCGTCGTCGTCGTCGTCGCCGTCCTCCCTCCTCCCTCATCGTCGTCGTGACCGTCGCCTTCGTCGTCCTCTGTCTTTCCTCGTCGTCGTCGTCCTGTTTGGCATTGTCGTCGTTTCCGTCGTCATTGTCGCCGTGATCGTCCTTCCTCCTCCCTCGTCGTCGTCGTCGTCCGTCGTCGGCGTCTCGTGGTCGTCCCTCCTATTTCGTCGCTGTTATCGTCGTCGTCGTCGTCTTCCCTCCTCTCTCGTCGTTGTCGTCGTCGGCGTCGCAGTCCTCTCTCCTTCTTCGTCGTTCGCGTCGCCGCCGTCCTCCCTCCTCACTCGTCGTTGTCGTCGTTGTCGCCGTCGTCGTCCTCCCTCCTCCCTCGTCGTCGTCGTCTTCGTCGTCGTCGTCGTCGCCTTCGTCGTCGTCGTCGTCTTCGTCGTCGTCGTCGGCGGCGGCGTCGTCGTCGTCGGCGTCGTCGTCGTCGTCGGCGTCGTTGTCGTCGTCGGCGTCGTCATCGTCGTCGTCGTCAGCGTCTGCGTCGTCGTCGTCGTCGTAGGTGTCGTTGTCGTCGTCGTCGTCGAAGTCGTCGGATTCGTTGTCGGTGTCGTCGTAGTCGTCGTCGTCGGCGTCATCGTTGTCGTCGCTGTCGTCGTCGGTGTTGTTGCCAAGTGCCATGTGGTACCTACCGTCATGGTCTTAAGAGGTCTTGCGTCCAAGTTGCGGGTGGGAGGGTGGGATATTTGCACGAGCAGTGGAGAGGGCAGCTTCAAGACAATCAAAGTGAATGCACCACATAAATTGCGTCACATACATACATACATACATACATACGCACATACACACATAGTGGCATAACATACATACATTTACACATATGTACATACTTATGTGTATAAATACACACAAGTTTTGCATTACACAGCTTGCACGTCCTATCTTGGACCGCCCGAATGCACCACATATATTGCACCACGTAGGTTGGTTGCATCACATGGCTTGCACCGCATATATTGCACCAGGTCGATTTCTAGAAATCACTGTTTGGGGTCCACGCTGGCTAAGACTTTCTTGGACATCGACGTTTCTTTGTGTCTGTGTGTTTTTTCCCTCCTGATAGAGGAGCTGGAGAACGCTTTACTTTAGACTTAGGCGGCTCCATTTGCATCTCCACCCCCCATCCGCCGCCTTGTCAAGCAACGTTGGGCAGAAAAAGCGTGCAAACGAGTCAAGTCCCTGGATCTCCTTCTGGGCCTCGCCACACTCCACACCCGTCCCCCCCTCCAGTGATCAGAGGGCCATCAGGGGGGACTTGCTCAGACGGGGGGCATCGACCTGAAATCGGCGATACATCGCCGACAGATCGGCGATGGGCCCTCGATAGCAAAACCCTACGGATTTGGGCGGGATTGACTATCGGGCCCATCTCGGCGATGAATGGGCGACTGGGGGCCGTTGCCCCCCCCCCGCCCCCCCTATGGAGCTCCCCTCCCCAAAATTGCCCTCTATGGGCAAGAAAGCGGCCTCAGGGGGAAGGGGGGGGGATCCTGAAGGTGGGTCCTGACCTTGGCGATCATCTCGCGGTCGTGGGCGCGCTGCTCGGACAGCCAGAAAATGGCCGGGACCTGCTGGCGCTGTGCGCGCACCACTGCCAGCTTGACCCAGTCCGCGATGGAGTCGTCCTTCGTCTGGCACATGCGCCAAATGTCCCCTTTCGAGACCTTGTGGCTGAAGATCGTCTTCCCGGTCTTCCGCCCAACCACGTTCACGATGCCGTCCTCGGGAATTAGGAACGTCTTGTCGTGGGAGCCGTACTCCTCCGCCTTGGCCGCCATCAGACCCACGTTGGACGTAGCCCCGATCACCGACGGGTCCAGGTGGCCATTCTTCTGGCAATCCTCGATGATGGTCTGGTAAATGCCAGCGTAGCAGCGGTCGGGGATCACGAATTTTGTGTCCGTCAGCTTATCCGCCTTGGACCACATTTTGCCAGAGTCGCGGATGGCGGCCGCCATGGAGGCGTCCACGATCACATCGGAGGGCACGTGAAGGTTAGTGATACCTTTGTTCGAGTCGACGTACGCCATCTCGGGCTGAGACTCGATGCAGGCTGCAATGTCAGCCTCCACTTCGGCCTGCTTTGGATGCCCTTGGATCTTATTGTACACATCGCCGATCCCGTTGTTCGGGTTCACGCCGATCTCCTTGAAGAGCGCGGAGTGCTTCTGGAACGCCTTTTCAAAAAATACCTCCACGCAATGCCCGAACATGATGGGGTCTGAGACCTTCATCATTGTCGCCTTGAGGTGGAGAGAAAAGAGGACGCCTGGCTCCATCGAGGCGATCTCCTGCTTGTAGAACTCGCGCAAGGCGGAAGCCTGCATGGTAGCAGCGTCGATGATCTCCCCAGGCAGCAATGGCGTCTTCGGCTTCAACACCGTGGTGCCGCCCGCGTGGACGAGCTCGATGCGCACGCTCGTGCGCCGGTTGGGGCCGGTCCACGACTGCTCGCTCGAAAAGAAATCTCCATCTGTCATGTGAGCCACCTTGCTCTTCGAGTCTGGGGACCACTTGCCTACCTTGTGCGGATTGTTCATGGCGTACTCCTTCACGGGCCTCGCCACGCGGCGGTCCGAGTTGCCCTCCCGCAAGACTGGGTTGACGGCACTCCCGATGATCTTGCCATACCTCGCCTTGATCTCCTGCTCTTTCTCAGTCTTGGGTTCGGCGGGGTAGTCGGGTACTGCGAAGCCCTTGCCTTGCAACTCGGCGATAGCGGCGATGAGCTGCGGCACAGATGCGGACACGTTCGGCAACTTCACGATGTTCGCGGCAGGGGTCTTCGCTAAGTCCCCGAGTTCTGTCAACTCGTCGCTGACTTGCTGGTCGTGCTTAAGGTAGTCTGGAAACTCGGCGCGGATACGACCGGCCACCGAAATGTCCTTCTTCATGATCTTAACGCCGACCGTGCGGCAGAACGAACGCAACACCGGCAACAAAGAATAAGTGGCCAACGCGGGAGCCTCATCCGTCATCGTGTACTGGATCTTCACGTCTGGGATCTTGAACTGGACCAGATCGCCCGTCCTGTCCTGGAACTGCATGATCTTCAGCTTCGTGCCCCGGGGCATGTTGTCGAGCCATTCGTGCAGCTCCACTGATCCGTCCTGGTTGATGTCCAGCTGCCCGAAGAGCTCGTGCACGTCGATCTCGCCGTGCGGGATCTGAAGGTCGTCCAGCACCTGAGGCCAATATCGTCGGGCAGCCACCCCATCCCACCCAGAAGAAGATGCGAACATTTTGGAGACTGGGCGGGGCGTGCGCCGGCCAGCGCCACGAGCTGGCCCACAAGCAGAAACAACTATAGCAGAGCCAGCAACGATTTCTTAGCCTGGCCCGCAGCCAAAAGGCCCATGACCCTGCGGGCGTGTGTGGGGGGCTTGTCTGTTCGAGTCGTCGTCTCCGTCAGTCGTCGCTTTCGTCGTCCCCTTTCGCTGCACCCTCCTCCTCAAGCCTGTCAGCGAGAGAAGAATCCAGCAATGCCATAATCGAGTCGAAGGGAAGCCCCTTCCTATTGATCCCTTCCCCTGCCGGGGGGGGAGAGGGGGTCCGGGGGGGTCCCCGGGGGGTCGTGCGGGGGGGCCCAGGGGGTTCCCGGGAGGGGTCCCGGGGGGGTCCTGGGAGGGAGAAAGGGTCAGATGCGCATCCCCCCCTGGGGTTCCTGGGCCTCAGAAAGCACCACGACAGGCAAAGAGTTGCCCCAAGAGGCCCCCGAGACGGTTCACGAGGCAAACTATCGGTCCAACACGCCTTTGCGCCCACCAGACTGCCCAGAAGGCCTCCAGGACGCCCCAACAAGCCTCCAAGAGCACCCCCAAGAAGGGCCCCACGAAGCAAAATTCAATGATACCATTTGGTTTATCAAGGATGTAGGCCCCCCCAAAATCGCCCCAAGAGGCCTCTTAGACGGCATCAGAACGGCCCAGGAAGACAAAGACACCCTACCAGCGCTTCCAAAACGGCCCCACGAGCGTGCCCAGACGGGGGACCCGCACAGACATTTCGAGCCCTCGGCCCCGAGATGCTCCCAGGAGGCCCCAAGAGGTTCCCAAGAGGCCTCAAGAGGCGACCAGGAGGCTCCCAAGATGCTTTCAAGAGGCCCCAGAATTCCTGCCCAGAGGCACCCGAGAGCCTCCCGAATAGACTCCAAGAAGCATCTCTCTGGCCCACGTCAGCTTTGTCATCGTCGCCGCCGCCGCCGCTGTCGTCGTTGCCGTCCCCCTTCACGGTCGGCGGCACTGGCCGTAAGGCCTTCGCAATATAGCAGAGCCAGCACCGACTTCTGAGCCTGGCCCACTTCTAAAAGTGCCGATTCGCACTGGTACCTCCGTTTCGTTCACAGCATGATGTGCCCTCTTCCCCAACGCCGAGCCCCTGACAGCCTGACTGTCATTCACGACCGCAAAGGAAGAGGGCGGAGAGGAAATGGAGGGAAGGAGACGGATGGGTAGGAAGAGGATGAACAATAATAGAAAACTGACCAGGGCCAACTCTGGTGCCTCCTGGCGGACAGACCAATAGCGCCGGTGTCAGGAGCAATGATAGCAGCAGCGGCGGCAATAACTGTGACCCCACTAACGGTTTGAACAATACTAGTACAGGTAGGAATCGTAACAATCCGCACCGCGGAAGCACGGGCTGGCTGGTGGAACGCCCTTACTCTGGAGTGGTCCCACCAAGTAAGTTGGCTACTCGACATCTGTATACATGCGGTGCCGCGTGACAGTTTACCGCATCAAGCGGCAGCGCTGGAAAACGTATCAGTAGCAGCCCCAGCGGCGGTGGGGGGGAAACGCGGTGCCCCCACGTCCCCGCGGTCACCCCCCCAAAGCGATAACCGACAGAATGCCCGCAACGGCCTATGCGCCGCAGTGGCCAGCACCCACGGTGTTTCCACTCGTCACCGAGTCGTTGCCTCACTCAGCAATTGCGCCGATCCTAAGGGCGACCGCTGCGACCCGTCGGTCTTTGTGGCCCCCGCCGATGGCCACTCCAAGGGGCCTGGCAGCGGCAACGGGTGGCGGTGCGAACCCCTGCTGCTACCGTCGAATCGAGATGCCACACATATCATGCCGCTTTGTAAGATCGCTCGTTGGCGACAGGTCACTCGTGCAAGTCATGAGAAGACGACGCGTGGTACCGAGTAGTGCCTACATTCGCCTCAACCGCGGATGCGGCAGACCTGGTGACCCCGATCAGCATGTTCAGGAACCGCACCGCGGATGCACGCGCTGACTGGAACGCCCCAACTCTGGAGTGGCCCCAACTCTGGAGTGGCCACGTGTAAGTTTACCGCATCAAGCGGCAGCGCTGGAAAACGTATCAGTAGCAGCCCCAGCGGCGGTGGGGGGGAAACGCGGTGCCCCCACGTCCCCGCTGTCACCCCCCCAACGCGATAACAGACAGAATGCCGGCAACGGCCTAAGCGCCGCAGTGGCCAGCACCCGCGGAGCTCGTCCAGCAACCACGCTTAGAGAGAGGACTTTTACGATGTTTCCACTCGTCACCGAGTCGTTGCCTCAATCAACAATGGTGCCGATCCTGGGGGCGACTGCTGCGACCCGTCGACCTTTGCGGTCCCTGCCGATGGCCACTCCAACGAGCCTGGCAGCGGCAACTGGTGGCTGTGCGACCCCTGCTACTACCGTCGAATCGAGATGCCACACACAACATGCCGCTTTGTAAGATCGCTCGTTGGCGACAGGTCACTCGTACAAGTCATGAGAAGACGACGCATGGTACCGTGTAATGCCTGCATTCGCCTCAACCGCGGATGCGGCCGACCGGGTGACCCCGATCAGCGTGTTCAGGAACCGCACCGCGGATGCACGCGCTGGCTGGTGGAACACCCCAACTCTGGAGTGGTCCCACAAAGTTAGTTGGCCACTCGAAATCTGTATACACATGCGGTGCCGCGTGTAAGTTTACCGCATCAGGCGGCAGCGTTGGAAACAAATCAGTAGCAACCTCAACGGCGCTGGGGCCTACATTCGCCTCGCCCGCGGATGCGGCCGACCCGTTGACCCCGAGCAGCGTGTTCAGGAATAGCTGCAGAAGGGTGTCGGACGGCCACCCGTACCACGGAAGACCATTTCAGCCACGCACCCAGGGACAGTGAATGACCACTCGGACTTAAACGGCAAGCCCTAACAATAACATGTTTCCTATGATTTCAACAAATGTGCGCGGGCACCACATCTGCAGTCATGTTCTGAACAACCAAACGGGCTTCAAGGTTTTAGGCTGACATGGTTGCAAACTTATTGTGTTTGGTATGCTTTCGACATGTGTTCGCGCGTGGAGTTTCTCATGCGTGTTTTGTCCAGGCTTCTTGACACTTTATCCATTGAGGTAGACGAGTGCGCGTGCATGGAAGTATTTAGCAGGGATGAGGGTGTCGATGCCAGTTTGGTTTGGGGGGGTATGAGTTCATGTGGAAATAAACGGTGACATATCATCACATGTAAATTGTACGATCCCAAGGGGGAGCGTTAAATCCGGACTCGGGAGGGTGGTGGTGGAGTGTAGTTCCTGCACTCCTAGCCGCAACCTTCGGTCAAACTCGAAGCTTGGCAGAACCCGCGACCAGAGTTACCGACCGAAACTTGGCAGCACATTCCAAAGGCCGCAGCGACAGGCGAGCGCGCCTCGCGCAGATCCATGACGAGTGAGCGCCTGGAAGCGCGAACCCACGAGTGAGGCGGCCGCGGGGCGCCCACGGGCGGCCACCTTGCCAACACCGAAAGGTGCGAGGCACGAGCGAGACGCCCGCGAAGGGCCCACGGGCGGCGACCGGGCGAAGATCTGCAGATGCCAGCCAGCGCACGGGGCGCCCACGAAGCGCCCACGGGCGGCAGCGGGGCGAGAAGCCGGACACGCCATGCCATCGCCTGGGAGCACCGGGGGAAACTCGGAAGCGCAAGGGCTGTTTGGGCAGCCGGGTCCGAGCGGCAGGAACCTGCCGTAGACGAGTGAGCACCGCCAGGCACCGCGCCCGACGCTTCCGTAGCCCAAAGCAACATACATGATAACCGCACACCGACCCGAGGCCAGATACGCGGGTCTCGAACCGACTCGGCTAGGCCCGACCAGACAGCGACCCGAAGCCGCTGGACCAGATGGGTCCGCGGTCCGACCCGAACCGTGCAGACAAAACCGAACGCACACCAACACGTCTTGACTTTGCCCATCGCGTTTCCAAGTTGGGCATTTTTTCGCGAAAAGGGATCGCGGGATCGCCTGCTGAATCTGCGAGGGGTCTAGGCCACCAGAGCCGTCACCGTCGTACCGCGCGAAGGCTTGCGCGAGGATGGCAAGCTCCTGGGGCAACAAACATAACGATACAACTACTCACCAGACATCTCGAAGGCTGCATTCTGAATTCGATCTCCATGCGATTCCAGCCGTGATGACGAGGGCACCCCAGGAGGCCCAAAAAGACAAGCACAAACAACTGCCTCTGCGCACGGAGTAGCGTGTCCTCAGGTCCTTTGCCAAATCCCCCTTAGCCCCAGTCCTGAATCTTGGGAAGTCTTTCAGGGGGCCGGACCCCAAATTGCCAACTCTCTCAGGGTTTGGCGCGTGCCACCTGGGCTCCCCCGCACCTCCCCGCATCTTCCCGCGTGACTTTTTGTGGCCCAAGAGGGCTCCAAGACGGGCCAAGGGGGCCCCAAGAGACCTCCAAGATGGTCCAAGATGGCCTCGAGACGCCTAACTGTCGCTCCAAAGCGCTCCAGATGGCCGATGGCCCCAGGACGGTCCAATAGGACTACGAGACGCCAGAGGAGGCCCCCAAGCGGCTTTCCAAGAGGGCCCCGAACGCTAAAGTCGTGTATTTCCAATGGATGTTTCAGTGATTGGGGGGTCCTCGACTTTTCGGCTTTCCGACGCTCCAGGACAGCCCAAGAGGCCCCTAAGATAGCTGGCCCAGTAGGCCGCCAAGACGGCCCAAGAGGACCCCAAGACGGCCCAATAGGTGCCCGAGAGGTCTCCAAGACGGTCCCAAGAGGGGGAACACAAATCGAAAATCAGAGTCTTCCGCCCCAAGAGGCCTCCAGGATGCCCCAAGAGGCCCCCAAGAGGCCCGAAGAGACCCCAAGAGGCCCCAAAGACGCCCCAAGAGACCCCAAAACGGCCCCCAAGAGGCCTCAAAACGGCCCCCAAGAGGCCCCCGAGAGACCTCCTGCCACATCACAAAGAACGTTCTCGAGGCCTATGACCGATGACCCACAACCCAGGCATGATGGCGGGATGGGCCCAAGGCCATTGGATAAACGTAAACTATTGGAGATCCGCACGGGCTTCCGACAGTTTATGCTTATGTCGTACATCGTTCCCCAGAAGAAGGCGAATCCGTGGAAATGGCATTGATATCGGTGCGTTTTTCTCCTCTGAACTCCCGCTTGGCCGTCGAGGCGCGGGTCTCGACCGCGAGCTCGATGTCCTGCACCAGCGCGGTGAAACCCGCCGCCGCCGTCGTCGTCGTCGTCGTCGTCGTCGTCGTCGTCGCTCGTCGCTCGTCGTCGTAATCGTAGTCGTCGTCATCGCCGTCGTCGTCGCCGTCGCCGTCGTCGTCGTCGCGGTCACCGCAGTCGTCGTCGTCGTCGTCGTCGTCGCCGTCGTCGCCGTCGTCAACGTCGTCGTCGTCGTCGTCGTCGTCGTCGTCGTCGTCGTCGTCGTCGTCGTCTCATCGTCGCCGCTGTCGTCGTCGCCGCCGCCGCCGTCGTCGGCGTCGTCGTCACTCGTTCGCCGTCGCTCGTCGTCGCTCCTGCGTCGTCGCCGTCGTCACCGTCACCGCCGCCGCCACCGCCGTCGTCGTCGCTGTCGCCATCGCCGTCGCCGTTTCGGTCGCTGTCGACGCCGTCGTCGCCGTGGCCGTCGTCGTCGTCGTCGTCGTCGTCGCCACCGTCGTAGTCGTCGCAGGTGTCGCTCGTCTCCGCTCGTCGTCGCCGTCGTCGCTCGTGGCTCGTGCGTCGTCGCTCGTCGTCGCCGTCGTCGCTCGTGTGTCGTCGTCGTCGTCGTCGTCGTCGTCGCCGCTGCCGTCCTCGTCGTCGTCGCCGTCGCCGACGTCGCCGTCGCCGTCACCGTCGGCGTCGGCGTCGTCGTCGTCGGCGTTGTCGTCGTCGTCGTCGGCGTCGCCGTCGTCGCTCGTGTGTCGTCGTCGTCGTCGCCGCTGCCGTCGTCGCCGTCGTCGTCGTCGCCGCCGTCGGCGTCGGCTTCGGAGTCGGCGTCGGCGTCGGCGTCGTCGTCGTCGTCGTCGCCGTCGTCATCGCTCGCCTCGGCGTGGTCGTCGTATTCGTCGACGTCGCCGTTGCCCTCCGCGTCGCCGCAATCGCCGTCGCCGTCGCGTCGCCGTCGTGGTCGTCGTCGTCGCCGCCGCCGTAGTCGTCGTCGCACGTCGTCGTCGTCGTCGCACGTCGTCGTCGTCGTCGTCGTCGTCGTCGTCGCCGTCTTCGCACCGTCACCGCCGACGTCGCTATCGCCGTCGCCGTCGTCGTCGCCGCCGTCGTCGTCGCCATCGTCGTCGCCATCATTGCCGTCACCGTCGCCGTCGTCGTCGCCGTCGGCGTCGGCGTCATCGTCGTCGCAGCCGTCGCCGTCTCTCGCGTCGTCGTCGTCTTTCGTCCGTCGTTGCTCGCCGTCGCTCGTGCGTCGTCGCTCGTCGTCGCCGTCGTCGCTCGTGTGTCGTCGTCGCCGTCGTCGTCGTCGTCGCCGCTGCCGTCGTCGTCATCGTCGTCGTCGTCGCCGCCGTCGTCGTCGTCGTCGTCGTCGTCGTCGTCGTCGTCGTCGTCGTCGTCGTCGTCGTCACCGTCGGCGTCGGCGTCGCAGTCGTCGGCGTCGGCGTCGGCGTCGGCGTCGGCGTCGGCGTCGTCGTCGTCGTCGTCGTCGTCGTCGTCGTCGTCGTCGTCGTCGCCGCCGCCGCCGCCGCCGCCGTCGTCGGCGTCGGCTTCGGCGTTGGCGTCGGCGTCGTCGTGTCGCCGTCGGCGTCGTCCGTCCGCCATCGCTCGTCGTCGTCGTCATCGGTCGTCCGCCGACAGTCGTCGTCGTCGCCGTCGTCGCTCTTGCGTCGTCGTCGTCGTCGTCGTCGTCGTCGTCGTCGTCGTCGTCGTCACCGCCGCCGCCGCCGTCGCCTTCACCGCCGCCGTCGCCGTCACCGTCGCCGCAGTCGCCGCTGCCGTCGCCGCGCCGTCGCCGTCGTCGTCGCCGCGCCCGTCGTTGTCTTCGTCGTTGTCATCGTCATCGTCGTCGTCGTCGCTCGTCTGCCGACGCTCGTCGTCGCTCGTGCCTCGTACGTCGTACGTCGTCGTCGTCGTCGTCGTCGTCGTCGTCGTCGTCGTCGTACGTCGTCGTACTTCGTCGTACGTCGTCGTCGTCGTCGTCGTCGTCGTCGCCGCCGCCGCCGCCGTCGCCGCCGCCGTCGCCGTCGCCGTCGCCGTCGCCGTCGTCGTCGCCGCCGCCGTCGTCGCCGTCGCCGTCGCCGTCGTCGGCCTCGTCGTCGGCGTCGACGTCGTCGTCGTCGTCGTCGTCACCGTCACCGCCGCCGCCGCCGTCGCCATCGCCGTCGCCATCGCCGTCGCCGTCGCCGTCGTCGTCGCCGCTGTCGTCGTCGACATCGCCGTCGCCGTCGTCGTCGGCCTCGTCGTCGGCGTCGACCGCAATGATCGGCGTCCTGCACCGACGTCATAGCATGCCTCGCCAGCGGCAGGCGGCCGGCCGGCCGAGCCCCGCCGGCGGCGGCGCCAAGCCGGCGGAAGGCCACCGAAGGGCGCGGGAGCAGCCGCGACATCATCGCGTGTGCGGCCCGATGCGTCCCAGACCTCCAAGCGACGCGAGAAGACAGGCCTGACCTAGATCGAATCGCACATGGCAGCTCATGGGGGGCCTACCATGACATCTTGCTGGCTCTTGCGAATCGACGCTGACCGACGCTGAGCTGATCGACGCCAGCAGGCGCTAAATCGACGCTTTCTTGTCGATTACCGGACGCTAGCGCACGCCAATGCATGCTAAAAACTGTATTGTGAGGACATGCGAGGCTCCCATGATTTGCTTCCGAACGGAGCTGGTCGGAAACGACTACCACCGTCACGGGGTTCCAGATCAATACCTACTCAGACTGCCAGACCCACCCGGGATGGCCTGATTCACCCAAGAGCACCGATGGGTCACATGAGTCGCGGGCACGACTCGGCGCGTCGCAGACCTCCAGGAGAGGCGAGGAGATCACGAGGCAGCAGGACGCTGACGACACACCTGCAACGATCCAGTGTTTACGCTCTCTTGGCTTGGCCAGGAGTCTGTATACTGTGTGTACACAGAAGTACGCCGATCGTGAGCCCAGGACTGGCCTGGCCAGGATCGGTACGGGTGTACAGCTGGCGTCCTTCGACGAAAACCCAGGTCCACCCAGACTTCGCGCTTCGCGACCCGCGACGCGCGACTGGGGCAGCTCCCCGGCCCGGGCCGCGGCGCGCGAGGCGCGGTCGCCTTCGCGCCCCTGCCCCCGGCCTCAGGTGCTGCACTTTTTGTGCGACCTTGGCCCCCCGAGGTCTGGGCCCTCTCCCCAGGGCAGGATCGGTCAGCGTCGAATCGGGAACTCGGATCGAATCGACATCTTCGTCCGATCGGGCTGCATCGGAGCGAAGTCGGAACCGAATCGGATCGGCTGCGCCAGGATGCACAAGGGCGCCATGTGAGCATCGGGCTGCATCGAATCGTCGAAATATCGGGATCGAATCGGATCAGGCCAGCCAAAACCGACATCGAATCGGATCGATCGGATCGAAATGGACACTGTAGGGCCGTTTTTTATGTTGAATAGTTTCCTGACGGTCCCGGGGCCAGGGGACGGCCTCCAGAGGCCAGAAACGTAGAGAACACGCCCGCTGCGATTATTTGGCGTCGCCAGGATCTGAGGGATGGGGTGAGTGCAGGCCCTGGGTCTCTGGGGGACGATGTTTTTTCTCCCCCTGCATTTGCAGGAGGTCCTGGGCCCAGGATCGGCACAACGCCCCCTCCCACGGCCACGCCACGAAGGCCTGCGCACTGGCTCCCTGTGCCCAAGACGGGCCCAGCCAGAAGATGACGACCTGAACGGGGTGGGATGCGGGGCGCTTGCGGGGGTGCCAGAACGGTGCGGTGATAGACCGTGCGGTGACCTCGGGACCCCATCAGCCTCACCGCACGGTCTGCCACTGCGCCACCGCACGGTTGCGGGGGCCTCGGGGTTCAGACGCCCCAGACATTACCGGAGAACGACCCGAATGCCAAGACCGTGCGGTGACCCCGGATCCCCACTGACTCACCACACGGTGTGTTGACCGCACCGTCTGGGGGCCCCCGAGTTTTGCGCCCTTCTGGGCCTCCTGGGGGGGAGAGTCCCTTCGTCGCTGCGGCCAAATCCTCCTCGGGACCCTGGCCTGGGTGCGCCCCAGGGCCTGAGTTCACGAGGTTTTCGATTTCGCGATCACAGCGATCGCGCCGCGAGCACGACCACGACGAGTTCTGCGCTTCTTCAATGCCTGCGGGCAGCCTGCGGGCCCCAGCGCCACCGAGAGACAGCCCGCGGCGAGCGAGCCAGTCCCGGCGACGGAGCCGAAATATCCAGGGGCCCACGCCGTGAGCAGATGCACAACGGTCGGAGGTCTGGGGGTGGGTCGGCTGCGCGCCAGAGTGACACTGGGCAAGAGTGACCTTTGGTGCGCAGCTGTTGGGAGCCGCGGGGTAAGCTAAATCCAAGCAATCCGAGCGCGCCAGGCAGTGCTGGTGCGACCCCTGTGCACCCGCACCAAAAGTCACTCTGGCGAAAGGTCACCCTTACGTGTAGCCAAATGGGGCCACCGACGCTAAATGGCCCTGCGCGGGCGAGGGCTGGAGGTCTCCAGGGGACGCTCAGGCAGAGGGGGTCGGACCCGACGCCTCCGCTCAGATTGAAAGCCTCCCAAATGTGGCCACGGAACGAATGCGATCGGAAGATCGCGCAGCACCGTCGATGCATCGGCGACGTCGGGACTGAGAACACCGGGCTCGGCATTGCGCCGCATCGCCAAGACATCGTCGATGCGACGCGGTCCTCCGACCCCATCAACCAATACCGCATCTCGGAGGCGTGGGCCGAATCCACTGTTCGAAAATGTAAGGCGTCGGGTTGCGCGCATACGGCCCTCCCAGGTAGCCCCGGCTGGCCTCAACAGACCCTCGGAGTAGTCCCAACTGGCCCCAACAGGTCCCCCGAACAGTCTGGGCCCGTCTCAGCAGCTTGACCCTGGGGCGCGGCGCGCCCTGGGGGTGTCGCCACAGGCGGCGCCCGGGTGTTGAGACCACCCCAGACTACTCGGGGAACCTATTGCCAGCTGCGACTATTCGGGGGAAGCCATCTGAGACTACCTCGTGTCTGTCCGTGCTCGAGAGCAGCGGAATAGGGTGGTCAACTTGTGGTTTTCTTCCGATAACGACGATAAATATGATGTGAGAGTATGAGTGTGATATCATCCTGGCGAAGGGCCCCACCCTTTGCAGTCGTAAGGACCGCATTTCTGAGGATCGTTTTCGGTGGAGCCACCAATGGGGCTACGAAACGTGTGAAAGGGGTGTGCCAAGATGGCGGGGAGCTGTATGGGAACCTTGCCACTGGGGCCTTCGGTGGGGCTCCTTCTGAGGACAGCGAGAGATGTGCCGACATGGACGGGGAGCCGCATACGAACCTTGCCACGGGAGCTTCGGTAGAGCTTCCTATGGGGCCACGAAGCGTGTGAGGGCTGTGCCGAAATGGGCGGGGAGCCACATGCGAACCTTGCCACTGGTGCCTTCGGTGGAGCTCTCTCTGGGGGCACGAAACGTGTGAGCGGTGCGCCGCATTTTTCGGGGAGTCACATGCGAACCTTGCCATTGGGGCCGCTGGTGTAGCTCCCTACGGGGCCACGAAGCGTGTGAGTGGTGTGCCGAAATGGGCGGGGGAGCCACATGCTAACCCTGCCGTTGGGGCCGTCCCCGAAACGATTGAGGGGTGTCGCGAAAAGGGCGACGAGTCGCATGCGAACAATGTCACTGGGGCATCCGGTGGAGCTCCCGATGAGGCCACGACAGGCAGGGATGGGGAGGAGGGGGGAGCGAGAGGAGGCAGGAGGAGTGACGAGGGGTGGTGTCTGTTTAAATCATGGCCCAACACCACAGGATGAATGGGTATACAGGGGACGGGGGGCGGGGTGGAGGGAGACGGGCGCAGAAGCGAGACATCTAGAAACAAGCTAGGACACATGCGTGTATGTATATGTATATGAACATAGATCGATACATACATATATATATATATATATATATACAGTTCTACGTATACATTAACATATAGGAATACATTTAGGCAGACATATAAACATATAGAGGGGTGCCGAGAGAGAGTGGGAAGGGGGGGAGAGAGAGAGAGAGAGAGAGAGAGAGAGAAAGAGAGGTGCAGGGAGGGAGTAAGAGACGCCGCTATGGAGAGTGAACATGAAAGGGGGAGTACAAGAGTAAGAGAGAGAGAGAGAGAGAGAGCGAGAACGAGAGAGAGACGGACAGAGAGACGGAGGGACGGACGGACGGAGGGAGCAAGAGAGAGAGGATTAGTGAAGCGAAAATAAAAATGATTAACGAAAAGACGTAGAGCCTAGAGAGAGAGAGAGAGAGAGAGAGAGTGAGTGAGAGAGAACGAAAGAAAGAAAGAAAGAACAGACCAGCTAGAGATTTAGCCGGGTGAGGGACCCAACCATGTGCAGTTGTGAGCAACGCAGTTCTGAGGATCGTCCTCGGTGGAGCTCCCTATTGGGCCACGAAGCGTGTGAGAGGTACCCCGACATGGACATGCGGTGTGCAGGGAGCCGCATGCGAACCTTGCCACCGGGGCCGTCGGTGGAGCTCCATATGGGGCCACGAAACGTGTGGAGGGTGTGCCGAAAGGGGCATGCGGTGGGCGGGGAGCCCCAAGTACATTGCCATTACGGCCTTCGGTGGGGCTCCTTATGTGACCACGAAGCGTGTCAGGGGTGTGTCGAAATGGATACGCGGTGGGCGGGGAGCCGCATGTGAAACATCCCGCTGCGGTCTTCGGTGGAGCTCCCTATGGGGCCACGAAACGTGTGGAGGGTGTACCGAAGTCGACATGCGGTGGGCGGGGAGCTGCTTGCGAATCTTGCCACTGGTGCCTTCGGTGGAGCTCCCTGTAGGGCCACGAAACGTGCGAGGGGTTTGACGATATGGACCTGCGGTGGGCGGGGACCGCATGAGAACCCTGCCGCTGAGGTCGTTCCTGGAGCTCCCCATGCCAATCTGCATCAACGCAATTGAGGGGAAACGGGGAAAGGAGAGACGATGATGACGATGAGGAGGGAGAGGATGAGGAGGGAGGGAGGGATCGAGGGAGAGCAGGAGAGAAAGGAGGAAGAGAAGAGATAAAGAGAAAAACAAGGACGAAGGAGGATGGGCAGAATATGACTACGAAAGAACACATGAACCCAGGAAATAAGGAGAACGGACATAATAGAAGCACAAAGGCAAACGGAAACTCAGAAGGGGGAACACCAAGCAAAAAGCAGAACACCCAGGAACTCAATCCGTACAAGTATATAGGTACTACAAAGAAACATGAGTTCTTCAAAGGGCACTCCAAACACAAATATTCAAAACCAATCTTTAAGTTGGATTGTTCGTATATTTGTTCTGGAACTGGTTTCTTTCATTGTTCACGAGTGTTGCGTGTTTTCTTATTAGTCTGTTTTTCTGATTCTGGGTTTCGGAAATTAAAAACTCAAGGACATCCAATTTCCAAGGACAACCTCCCAAACTCAACAAACAATGACAAGAAACATAGGAACACCGCAACACAATCAAAGACACCATTGGGTTTTTCAAAGGAATTCATGAACACAAACACAGTCAAACCAAGGTTCCAACTGTATGTGATTATATCTTTAATGAAAAAAGCAAAGAAAAGTTTCTTAACGGTTTAAGGATGTTCCGTTTGGTTTTTCGCTTTTAAGCAATTATTCTGATTTTCGGTTTCGGAAATTTAAAGACAAAGGAAACCCATATCCCAGGACAACTCAAAACAATAAATCAAGTCAAGAAGCACTACAAAACAGGAAGACCATACAAGCATCAAAGACACTGTTGGTTGTTCAGGGACAGTTCTTGAAAAAACAATGAAACCAAGGTTTTGGTTAGTTTTTTTGTGCGCGTAATTGGTCTTTATACAAAAACAGCTGGTTTCTTTTTTTCTGGTTTTCCTGTTTTCTCCTGCTTCTTCGGTGTGTTATTTGTTCTGGTTTTCGGTTTCGGATTTGACTATTACCCGAAAGCACGAATTCAACTCACACTCCCAAGGATGACTACGGCAAAAACACCGCACAGCACAACACACCGGACAGCATCAACCACAACGTTTGCCACTCTATTCCCACTACCTCGTGTGCGCAGCCCGAAGCCTTACTGGTTCGAAGGCTGGACAGTGATCGAAGCGCAGGTGCTTGGACCCACCTCCTCTGGCAGAACTCTCCCTTTGGAGCCCTCTGGGATGGGGGCTGGGCAAGGGGCCCTGGCCGCAGCTTGCGCCAAGCTGGCGGCGATGATGAGGATGATTCTGATTCTGCTGCTGATGATGTTGTTGATGATGGTGGTGATGATGATGGTGATGGTGATGGTGATGATGATGATGATGATGATAATACTGCTGATGATGATTATGGTGAGGATGGTGATGATACCGGTAGTGCTAATGATGGTGATGGCGATGCTGCTGATGATGATGCTGGTGTTGGTTCTTGTGATTCTGACGATGATGCTGATGATCACAACGATGATAATGATGCTGATGATGAAGGCAACGGTGATTATGACGATACGGACGATGATGCTGCCGATGATGAAGACGAATAGGATGCGAATGATGATGAGGAGGTGATTATGCTGACAATGATGGTCATGCTGCTGATGGTGCTGGTACTGTTGATGCTGATAATGATGATGGCGACGATGATGCTGTTGATGTTGATGATGATGCTGATGCTGGTGATGATGATGCCGATGATACTGCTGATGATGATGATGATGATGGTGATGATGATGATGATGATGATGATGATGATGATGATGATGATGATGTTGATGCTGATGATAGCCGATCGCAATGAAACGCCACATCTGTCTGTGTGCCGCCAACGCAACCATGCTACGCTACGCCCGCATGCCCGGCCAGCGGCCGGCCCACCGCCTTGCCACGCCGCCGGCAGAAGGTGCGCCAGCCGCGCCACCAGCGCCTCCGACATCCGCGCGGCAAGCTGCCTCGCGTAGTCGGTACCCTGGCGGCTGCCTGGCTTCTCGGGCAGCGTCGCCACGCGGCGCGCAGCGGCCGCGGCCTCCGCGATGAACTGCTGCGCCGCCGTGCCCAAACGCCCGTCGACATCCACAGCGACAGGTACGACCGCGGCGCCGTAGCGGTCTCGCTTCTGGCCCTCGGCGTCGGCCGCGGCGTGGCCGCCAGCCCCCCCCTGGCCGAGCGGACCGCGACGTCGACCCACGCCAGGGCCGGGGCGCCAGGCCAGCTGACGACAAAGTCCAGCCGCGCCTCCTCGGTGGTCCCGTCGTCCTGCGTGCGCGCACGCAACGCTCGATGTCGACGTACCCTCCATGCGCCGAGATCCACTCGGCGAGGGTCCCTACTCACGATCTCGTTGCGCAGCCGAATGCGATGTGGCCCGACCGGGCACCACAACACGTGGTAGGCCGCCACATCCAGGGGGCGGCCACACGCGCCTTGGCGCCCCTCCTCGCTTGCTGCCGCATTCCGGGAGTACTCGACGGCGCACGTGGACGGGGCTCCCTTCAGGTCAAGCAGCATCTGGCGGCGGAGCATGACGACGAAGGCGGAATAGCGGAGCATCGCGCCACCCTCTCGCATGAAGCCGTTCCAGAAAGCGCCAGCGCTCAGCCCGCCGCCCGCGAGCAGGCGCGCCCACCGTGGCGCAGGCAGCCGGGCCCGCAGCCGCGTCGCCGCGAGGGCAGCCAGCCCCCAATAGGCCCGCGCCGTCAGCCGCCGCCGACCGCCCCCGACGTGCCCCTCAACCTCTGGGTCCTGGCTGGCGGCCAGCAGCGAGACAGAGATGCCAAGCACGTCGTCCGCCTCCGCGAAGAAATCGAAAACCGATCCGGTCTGATGATGATGATGATGATGATGATGATGATGATGATGATAATGATACTAATGATGATACTGATAATGATGATACTGATGATGATGGTGATGATGGTGATGATGATGATGCTGATGATGATGTTGATGATGATGATGACGGCGATGATTTTCCTCGACCTCACAGTCACCCAAGCAATGGCATTATTCGTTGTACGTAATAAAAAAGCAAATCGACTCGTCGCAGAGAGCTGAGCTCTCAAACGATGCTCGGGGCATGGTGCCTGCAGGGTGCTGCACAGCGAAGTCTGCCAGGCATTGTCAGGGCCAACGCGTTACTCAAACAACTGTCTGGCTGCGAGGGCATCGGCTTCGTACTCGCCGTATGGCTGGGGCGAAAGCGGCAGCACGGCTGCTGGCTGCGCTGGCAACGCATGCGTGCTGGCTGCAGTGGGAGGGGAGGCGGGAGAGGTACGGAGTGCTCCAATCCAACTGGAGAAGCCTGGTTCGAAAGTGGATTGTGTTTTTGCGGAAATTGGGCGTCAGACTCTGAAAGTTGGGCATGTACAATATTCACAGACGGTTCTGGTTTCGAGTCTACGATGCCAGAAATGTGCAGCTGTGGCTAGGCGGTTGTGCAAATTTCGCATGATGGACTACCGTTCCGCGCAGCTTTTTGACCACTTCCTGGCGTTCGGCAATCAGTGGGAAGGGCCGAGAGGTTTGCTGTTGTCCAAGAAATGGCCACATATCCCCCAGGAAAAACTTGAGATATCGGACTTGAGCGGTCTAGTCAGAGAAGGTCAAAGCAGGGGCCCCATGTTGGAGGATGCGGCGGCCAAGCGCGCTGACACATGGAGGGGGTGTTCACGACGGTCAAGACATATCCACCTGCGTTTGCATGGACGCCAGCGCATAAAGATGTGAGCGAATCTCTGGAGATGGGCTGTTTGGTGGCATGGCAACTGTTGGGCCCGCCACTTCGAGAGTGAGGGGGGCTACGTCGCACATGGCCCCTCACTGTATTCGCTGAAAGGCGCCAGGTCGAGCTGAAGCACCACTGGCACGTGAACCAACATGTCGCCAGGGCCATGGGGCTTATGGTTGTGGAAGGTGCTTGTGGAAGGTGCCTGGAAGGATCCTGAGCTGATGCCTAAGCCGCATGAGGAAGGCGCGCTGACGAAGCTTACCATCTAGTGTCACCTGTTCGTTGCAGTAATGGTTTCTTGCGTTGCCGACGTTTTGGCAAAGGGTCCAAGGGGCCACAGTTCGGGCTAACATTCAGTCTGCGCAATGCATGCCCACGGAACTTTGCCGCATGAAGTCTCAGGCCCAAGTTGATTTCTTCGGGCTGGCAGCCAAACTATCTACCAGCACCGAAGCGGTCACCGCGGCGTTGCTGCTCGCTGTCAGTTACCGGGGGCTGACAAGTATGCTGGTTAGGTGTTGGATGTTACCCATGATTGCTGCAAGTGTGCAAGTGGGCGGGGAGGCTCAGCGCGGCGACGACCTGCGGCAAGCAGGTTCAGGCCAAATCTTGACGGGCTGATCGATGGCCGATGCCCTGGTACCTATGAAATCATGCGGCGCGTTGGCGCCAATCATTGAGGGCCAGGTCTGTGCTGTGCCTCCGTTTCATACTCCATAGTTCGCACGCGTTGAGCTTGGTGGATTTCTGGCAGCGGTGTGTTGATTACCGCGTGGCCATGCTTGGGTACCACCTGTTGTTCGGGCGGGGTTCATGACGTCGGGGCCCCGCGGCAGAACTGGCTGGCCGAGGCCTTGGGCGGAGCGGCGCCAGCGGGGGAGGCCAGTGAAGTGGGATTCCCCTCCTGGCTCCTTGGGCCCATGCGGTCGTTTTGCGCAGCATCACCACCTGCGACTATATTGACTGAGTTCTGTTTTGATATGCGCCTGTTTGGGCGTGCAGTCTTGTCTTTGGGTGGTCGTCCTATGCCATCCTGGGATACTTCGTGGAGCTCGACGTCCACCAGTCGTGGGAGTTCGCTCCCTGAGGGAGGTCGTAGCGGGGCGGCCCGTGGATGAACTTGGGAGGGGCCGCTTTCGGCCTCGCCACGATGCGCTCGAGGAGGAGGAGGAAGAGGAGAAGGAGGAGGAGGAGGAAGAGGAGGAGGAGGAGGACGTGATGAGATGATCCGTAACCGCTTTGGCCCAAGCCGTGTGGCTCAAGCCATTGCCTGGGGGTTTCCCTCAATCTGGGGGTGGGGGTTCGAATGCCGAGCGGCCGCGCCTCCTGCTTTCCATGCGCTACTTCTATCTTCTCCGTCCATGGAACTGCATCTCCGCGCTGCCGGGTTCGGCACGCGAAGGTGCTTTCGCGGTCGCGACCAAAAGCGCCCTCACAACTGCGCTTGCAGTGGGCTGCTCGGGGAGAAGGGCGTGGCCACTGTGGCGTCTGGCACTCTCTCGAATATTACAACATGTGGGGCGGCGGTCATCGGCACGTTCGCGTTTCCTGTTGTCGTGGCCAAGCCGTCATGGTGAAGACGAGGCCGGCGCAGTCCATCGTCAAGGCTTTCAGCTATGGTGGTGAGCGACTGCTGGCGTGTATCTGCCCTCTCTCAGGCGGTCGGCGTGCTAGGGGGCCCTCGGGCCTTAGTAGCTTGCCGCCTGAGGATCAGAAGCTGTATTTCTTGCTTTTAGATGATATTCAATGGCTTGTGCTGTTTGCCAAGTTCCTCACGGTCCCGCGGGGGGCCCCGCCTACGTCGGTCTCGTGGCAATGGAGTGGTGCATGTCAGAGATATTGGAAGGCCCCGTCCCTGGTGTCGCGTCCCGCCCTTGACCCTGGCATTGTATGTGGCTGAGGTTTTCTGGTGCCTTCGTGTTGCGTGCGCGGGCCTGTCCTGTTCCATGTCATCCTTGTTATGGAATTCTTCGTCGCCGAGGTGGTGTCGTTCTCCTGAGGGTGGTATCTTCCAGGCTCGGCCAAGGGATCCTTTCGCAGAGGCTCCAGAGGCTCCAGAGGTGATGCGATGAAGCAGGGCCCAGAAGGCGGTTCGTCGAGGCCTTGCCTAGGCCTACCTCGGACGCCTCGGGGAGAGCCGAGGCGTCAGACATCTCGACCTACGCGTCCTTTGCGCACTGGCGACCCCCCAGTGCGGCCTCCGGGAATCCAGGAGCCCGGATGGTGCACGCCCTCGTTCCTGCCACGGGGGCCGACCCCACGACCGCCGCCCGCGGGGCGGGGCCTCCAGAGGCCGCCGCAGGGCCCCCAGGAGCGCCCGGAGCCAGAGGGGCCAGGGCCGGGCGCGGGGCCCCCAATGGCATCCGACGGGTCGCCTTGGGCAAACACCTCGGGCGTAAGAACTCGCGCTAGACGCACTCGGGTACCAGTCGACACGGCAACAAGCAAGTCCAACACCAAATACAGTACATCCCCCCCGCAAGACGGCCACTGCCTTGCTCC